GCCTGCCCTGCGGGACCATGCCAGGCCGGAGCCCCGCGCCCCGGCCCTGACCCGACCCTCCCTTTGGCCGCCCCGCAGGATCCTCTCCTTCCCCCAGAACCTCCTGAGCCCCCGGGACACCCGGCGAGGCCTGGCTGCCGCTTTCCGCATGTGGAGCGACGTGTCCCCCTTCAGCTTCCGGGAAGTGGCCCCCGAGCAGCCCAGCGATCTCCGGATAGGTGAGCGCGATCCCGGCCCTGCCCTAGCAGGGGTGTCCCGGTCCCCGGCCTCAGCCTGGCCAGGCCCCGACTCAGCCCTGCTTCCCCCAGGCTTCTACCCGGTCAACCACACTGACTGCCTGGTCTCCAGCCTGCACCACTGCTTCGACGGCCCCACGGGTGAGCTGGCCCACGCCTTTTTTCCCCCCCACGGGGGCATCCACTTTGACGACAGCGAATACTGGGTCCTAGGCCCCACGCGCTACAGCTGGAAGAAAGGTGAAGGAAGGCCGCCTCCTTTGGGGTCCTGCTCCCACAGTGGTGGGCCGCAGGGACTTTCCTAGCTCTTGTGGGAGGTGCTGCCACTAGGGGTCAAGCAGGGAAGGGGGAGGGTGCAGGCCACAGCCCGGTCCCCATCCATCCGTCCACGTCGTCCGGGGTGCACTCCCTCCCCCGCTGCATTCCTGGGTGCAGAGCTCACAGCCCAGCCTGGGAACGTTATCTTCCTGTGGCTGCGGTTGAGGCTCCACAGCAGCTCCAGCAGACAGGCCGGGCCCCTGGGGACAGAGGCCTGGAGTCGGCGCTCATCCCCGGGACCCGCAGGCGTGTGGCTCACAGACCTGGTGCACGTGGCCGCGCATGAGATCGGCCACGCGCTGGGCCTCATGCACTCGCAGCAGGGCCGGGCACTCATGCACCTCAATGCCACACTTCGAGGCTGGAAGACACTGTCCCAGGATGAGCTGTGGGGGCTGCACCGGCTCTATGGTGGGTGTTTTGGGGCAGGACAGGCAGCAGGTGGGTGGCAGGGCTCTGGGCAGGCTCTGAGCCAGCCTGTCTTCCCTGAAGGCTGCCTGGACCGGCTGTTGGTGTGTCCCTCCTGGGCGCGAAGGGGTTTTTGTGATGCCCGCCAGCGGCTGATGAAGAGGCTGTGTCCCAGCAGCTGTGACTTCTGCTATGGTGACGCGGGGGCGGGGGCTGGGGGCAGTGATGGCATGTGGGGGTGGGGGCTCCCAGCCGCGGCCCCATCTCCTCTGGGAAGCATCAGCATTTTCTTCGCGTGCACAGAGTTCCCCTTCCCCACTGTGGCCCCTACGCCCCCACCCCTGAGGACCAAAACCAGGCTTGTGTCTGAGGGCAGGAATGTGACCTTCCGCTGCGGCCAGAAGATCCTCCACAAGAAAGGCAAAGTCTAGTGAGTGCTGGGCACTGGGGGCCGTGACCTGGGGTCTCAGGCTGTGTGGCCCTTGGAGATGGGGCAGCCATGTGGGGGGGGGGGAAAGGGCTGCCCAGTGGCCCCTGTGGTGGGCTGGCACAGGCCTGGCGGACACTTCTCCCTGCAGCTGGTACAAGGACCGGGAGCCCCTGGAGTTCTCCTACCCAGGGTACCTGGCCCTGGGCGAGGCACAGCTGAGCATCATCGCCAACGCCATCAACGAAGGCACCTACACCTGCATCGTGCGCCAGCACCAGCGGGTGCTCACCACCTACTCCTGGCGGGTCCGAGTGAGGAGCTGAGCCCGGAGCCTGGAGCCCAGGCCCAGGCCTGCATGATAAAGCACCTTTTCTCTCAAGTCTCTGTGCTGTTTGTGCAAGGGCAGAAGCGGGTCTGGGCCTCCAGTCGACGGGGGAGCCCCAGGCACCATGTAGTCTGTCCGTTTTGGCAGGGACACTGGTGGGGTAGCACATAGTCCCCAGGGAGAGGGTGAGTGTAGCCAGAAGACCAGAAAGCTGCCCTGGTGGCCTCTTGAGAAGTGTTAGGAGCGTCACCTGGGCCTGGGTGGGAAACAGGGGAGGCCTGAGGAAGAGGCTGGGGATGGAAGGCCAGGCAGAGCGAAGGCCCTGGGCAAATCCCTGCCTGGCTGGAGCGGCAGGGAGGACTCCAGTGTCGGGGACGCAGGGCAGCCGCAACCCGCTCCACAGCCTGCGCCGTCCAGCTCGGGGGTGGCTTGCTCAAGGAAAGGCTACGCCACAGTGTCCTCCAAGAATACTACCCCGCGATCATCTGCACCCCCGTGTGTACAACGCACGTGGCGAAGGCTGCCCCACTGCGGGCGAGATCTGTGGACAAGGCTAGACAGCACGTAACCCCCAAGACCAGCCCCAGCGCAGGCCAGGGCTTGGCATGCGCGTGTGCGTGGGGGGCCCAGGCCCGCACCACACCCACCACCCTTCCTCACAGGCTGAGGCAGGCGTGGGGGAAACACCCGGCTTTTCCTTCCACAGGAAACAGTCATTTAATTCTACAAATGTACAAATCAAAATATAAAAAAAGGAAATGTGGGCAGGTGTGCGGGCAGTGCCAAGTCCGGGGTCCTGGCCGACCGCGGGTGGCTCTGTGGCCAGGCAGCGCCTTCAGAACTTGAGGCTGAAGCCCGGGCCGGCGGCGGAGGCCCCCTGGTTGGTGGTGGTGAGGTGGAAGCCCGTCTCCTTCAGGTCGTCGTCGCCCTGTGGGAGGAGGTGGGGCACTGTGAGGACCGAACCCCGTCTGAGCCCCCCATGGAGACCCCTGCGGGCCGGCCGCTCACCAGCTGGCTGTAGCCTAGACCCCCCTCGGGGGGGCGTGGACTGGTGCCCCGCTTCACACGCTGCTGCTCGCTCTTGGCAGGCCACGTGGGGAACATGGAAGGGTCGATGGGGAGTGGAGTCTCGCAGAAGTACTCATGCTTGAGGCCGTCTTCCGCGTTAACCCGTCTCCCCGGGAAGTAGGTCAGAAACCTGGGAGAATGCAAGGGATGGGCACTGCCGTGGCAGCGAGGCCCACAGGGTACACAGGGCAGCTGTGCGGGGAGGGAGCCCCGACTCACTTGTTCATGAGATCAAAGCCCTGGTCCGAGAGCAGGGCCCCGAAGCGCTTGCGGAGGTTGTTGTAGGGGTGCTCACTGAAGGTCATCTTCTTGACGGCTGGGAGCTCATTGTAGCCAGGCCAGATCTTCTCACTGGGGGTTCCCAGGTCCTGGAAGACAGCGCAGCGCAGCGCAGCTGCAGGTGTGGCCTGGGCGGCCCTGCCACAGCGCCGCACTGAGGTGCAGACTGGGGGCTGTCATGCCCTGGGCTCAGGCAGCCTCGCCGGCCTGGCACCTCCACACCCACCTTAAAAACCTTGTTGATCTGATCAATCTCCGACTTCCCAGGGAACAGGGGCTTCTGTGTCAGCAACTCTCCGAAGATGCAGCCCACTGACCACATGTCCACCGCCGTGGAGTACTCCTGGGGCCGAGGGGACATGGCTCAGGGGCTGAGAGGCTGGGGCTTGGGGGCCGAGGGGCTGAGGCTCAGGGGTCTCAGACTCACCTTGGCGCCAAGCAACAGTTCAGGGGCTCGGTACCAGAGGGTCACAACGACGGGGGTGTAGGCCTTCAGGGGCGACCCATACTCTCGAGCCAGCCCAAAGTCACCAACCTGCATTGACACAGGGAGGCTGTGAGGGGCCTGGGTGTGGGGTGCGGGGCCTGGGTGTGGGGTGCGGGGCCAGGCCCTGCGCTCACCTTGAGGATGCCAGCGTGGCTCAGCAGCAGGTTGGACGTCTTCAGGTCCCGGTGCAGAATCCAGTTGTCATGCAGGTGCTTCACCCCCCTCAGCAGCTGAATCATCAGCGTCTTCACTTCCCCTGGGGGAGGGCTGGGGTCACAGGCATGCCCACTAGTGAGCCCTGGACGCCAGCCAGGGCCTGGGGCAAGCCAGCAGCCCCCGCCGGGGAGGGCTCTAAGCCTAGAGCCCAGGTGTGGTGCAGACGGGGAGACATGGTCCCGCCTATCACTAGGGCCGAAGGCTTCCAGCCCTGCCCCAACTCAGGCCCTCCCCGAGGTCGGGAGCACGCAGGGACAGACCTGGGAGAAAGGGCTGCTTCATGGTCTCCATGAGGCTCTTGAGGTCGTGCTCCACGTAGTTCATTACTATGTAGATCTTGTCCATGTTGCTGCCCACCACGATCTCCTAGCAGAGAGGCCATGGGATCGTGGGCGCCCAGCGCACCTCCAATCCCCTTGCCACCACTGGCTCTCCTGGGAGCCCCGAGTTGCTGGGCACGGGCAGCAGCGGAAGCAAGAGCACGGGCCTCTCAGGCTGATGCTGACTGCTGCGCTGAGCGTCTGGGGTGCACCCCGGGCTACACGGCACCTCTTCCCTTCCCAGGGGAATACTCCTCTTTGGGCCTTACTCGGACCGTGACAATGTTGGGGTGCTGGGCCTTGAGAATGGTGTTGATTTCTCTCAGGGATGTGATCGGAAACCCTTCTTTCTCCTTCTCCATTTTCAACCGCTTCAGAGCTACAATTTCATCTGTAAGGAAAATGGCGTCACTAGGTTAGGCATGGTGGTACACACCTCAATCCCAAGATTTGGAGGCTGAGGCAAGAGCATCTAAAACCCCAGCTTATTTCTTTCCTACAGCTGGGAAGGTGGCTCAGTGGTAGAGCGCTCGCCTCCCATGCATGAGGCCCTGGGTTCGATTCCCCAGCACCACATAAGCAAAAAAAGAAAAAAAGCCGAAAGTGGCACTGTGGCTCAAGTGGTAGAGCGCTAGCCTTGAGCTGAAGAGCTGAGGGACAGCGCCCAGGCCCAGAGTTCAGGTCCCATAACC